CTTTGCAGTCCAGGAGTGGAGGTCCCTGGGACCATTAAGAAAGAAGAGCGAAGTGCAGGACCCTACCCAGAGAAACAGTGACACCAGAGTTAGAAGCAGAGACAATGATGTGGAGAGAGAGAGCAGCTAAGGACTCTAGACCCAGAGAGGGAGAGGGACTCGTGTGCTGACGACTGAGGGACAGGCTTGTGGGGCATATCCTTTAGTTGTTTGATGATGCATAGAGGGGATTGTAACCATGGCAATGAAATGATATACGATAGGATGAAAGTAAAGCTAATGTTCTCCCATGTAAACTATCACATCATTCACAATAAAACATTTTTTAAAAAAATATGGGGAACAACTGTGAAAACTAAAGCTTTTGACTTTCACAAACTAAGTTTAGAAAAGATAGTATATAAGAAAATAGGACCTGAATTGATGAAAAGCTATGGAGCTATGGAGTGTGTGCATGTGTGTGCATGTGTGTGTGCATGTGTGTATGCTTGGAGGACATCATCCTATTCTGGGGGAAAACATTCCTAAGAAGAATTACTTGGATGCTACATTTATAAAATTAATTAAATGAGTAAGATCATCTCAATTCCAAGACTGTGGGATTTTTTTTTAAGTGTCTTCACAACTTTCTTGGGTAGGTATCCTGTGCCTTCAAGGAGCACAGTGGTTCTGTAGGAAAAGGACTGGACTGTGAGCCACAAAGTCAGTGATTCAAGCCCAGCTGCAACTACACAGGAGAAAGATGGGGCTTTCTGCTACTGTAAAGACCTACAGCTTTTGGAAACCCTACACTTGGTCACTATATAAATTGGTACTGACTCTATGGCACTTAACAACAACATCCTGGGCCTTCGATGACTCATCTATAATTACAGCCCAAGTCTCCTGCCCCATAACTAGTCATCTTTGTATTGGATTAAGACAATTTTCTTCCCAGAGTTCAGACCTCGTGGGACAGGAAGGAGGTGCCTACCTGTATTTCAGGAAGGCTCTGGGCATGGGCGTGAATCTGGTGCTTCTCCTGGAGGTAGGTGCTGACCACATCGGGATTCAGCCAGGTGTTATGGATCTGGACACCAATCCTCATTCCCCTGCTGGGAGCTATCCCATGGTGTTCAGCTTCCAGGTAGTACTTGGCCCCACCTAATAGCTCCAACTTGAGGGTCTTCCGGTACCAAGTCCCTTCATTCCCATTCTCCTCCCAGGAGTCAAACCAGTCAGCAATTCCAGTGCTGATGGAAGCCACTTCCACCTGTGTCCAAATAAACATAGCAGGATCAACATGCAGACGCTGCTGGGCGTCTCAAACAAAAACTGTCTGGATAGTCACTAACAACGGATTCTTGGCCTTGTCCACAGTGGAACCTTCTCTCAAGGGAACCTGAAAGATTGGTTTGCCTTTTCCAGCACACTGTGGTTCCTAGGTGCCATCAAGTTGATTTTGACTCATGGCAACCCCATGTGACAGAGCAGAACTGCCCTACAGGATTTTCTAGGTTGTAATAGATAAGCACTTGACTTCAAGGTCTGTTTGAACCTCAAGATCGGCAGTTCAAAGTCACCAGCCGCTCCTCAGAAACCCTATACAGTGTCACTATGAGTTGGAATCCACTCGACGGTACTTAACAACAACAATAATCTTTACAACAGCAGATTACCAAGTCATTCTCCGGCAAACTCACTGAATTTGAATCACCAAGCTTTTCATTGCAGCCAAGCACTTAACCATTGTGCTACTTTCCAACATGGTGGTCATGGTGGTGGTGTGCCATGGAGTCAACTCCAACACATAGTGACCCTGTATAGGGTTTCCAAGGCTGCAAATCTTCACTGGAGCAGAAAACCTCATCTTTCTCCTGCGGAATGACTGGTACTTTCGAACTGCTGACCTTGAGGTTAGCAGTCTGATTCGTAACCACTACGCTAACAGTAGTCAAAAATTGATCTGTGGTGTGTGTGTGGTTCTCCACCCACCGCCACCCACCATTCATTCTCTCCCTCTCTCTCTCTCTGAGACTGTTAAATGATCAAATGAGTCTCAATGGATTATATTTATATATAATATATATAAATGTATTTATATAACATAAAACTCTAGGCTTATATGATATTGTGAATAAAATAGAATTAAATTATTTCAGACCTTGAGAATGATGTATCCATGAAAAAAATACAGAACATTTTTTTTCTAAACAACTAGAATAGCAATTTCATAAAAGCATATTAACAATTTAAGAAAAAGTATTGTGGTTCTTTGTCAATATTCCTAGTAAACATTGACTGCTTGCTAAGTAAGTGTATATTTTCTTATCCTTCAAGCTTGATGGGGATATTGCACCATAATACTTCCTACCACCTCTCTATTCAAACTTAGTGAGAAAGACCATGCTTGGAGTCATGTAAACTTATCTAAATGGTCTGGATTGGCCACATTGTCTAATCCTCTATCTTCTCAACTGGAAAATAGAGCTAAAAGTGCATACTTGGTAAAGATGCTGAGAAGAATAGAACCAAGGCATGTAAAAGGTCTTAAAACTATCAGACCTACAGTAAGTGCTCAATAAAATCTCTGACCACCTACTGGCATGTTAAAATCATCAATAGGACATGCAAGCTTTAGTTTTAGTTTTTGCTTTTGATTTTTCAGGAGTGATGGGCTGGGGCCTGGAAGAAGAAGGAAAATGAAAGGAAGGTGAATACCTTGGTCTTCGGATCCTCTGACCAACTGAAATGCAGGCTAGCTTGGCTGTCTGCTTGGATCCAGAAAGTATAATTATTTGTCTCTGGAGCCACGAAGAACCCACTGAGCCGTGCTCTGTGAAGCAGAGGAACAGAGTCAAACGAGAGCAAACTAGGCTTGAAATCATGGAACAAACAGCTGGTTGCCAATTTCCTTTGTTTCTCTGTATGGTAATGAAGAAGAAAATCCTGATTCTTGCACCATCTGATTGGCCAAAATACCTAGAAACAACTAATCCCATAGCCTCTGTCTAGTCTCAATATCCCAGTTGAGATTGGATAGCAATTGATCTCATTATGCTGTGGTAAACAGAAATTTTGGAAATATAAGGACTATAGCACCAGGATGGATGAAAGCTTATCTGAGAAAACATACCTAGCACACCAGTATAGGGAGGATCTGTCCATGGTAGAAACTCAGTCAATAGCAAATACTACTCTGATCATTAGAAATGAAGAGAGACCACCAAGTAGAACTTGCTCTGAATTAACCAGATACTTCAATATGTGCAGACAATATCTTTCCAATTACAAATATTGTGGAACATGGAAAAGAGTCGACTGAAGTTGCCAACAGTTTCAAATTTAAAGGCCATGAGGAAATTTTCAGGCAATGTTATGAAACATTAAAAAAAAACAACAACAGCATTTCTTTAAAGTTTAAATTACATTGACATAGCATTAGAGACAGATTTAACTCAGGTATCTTCCTAAATAAATACTACAAATATTTTCTGTTTGTCCTATTTTTAAATCTTCAAAACATCAATATACAGAGCCTTTTAATTTAGGTTTCATGTACAGATACATATATATTACCTTTCAAAAATGTTTTTATTTTTAAAAATAGTTTTTTAAAAGAACTATGTGAAAAGTTCATCATTATATAAAAGGTATTTCTCTGTCAGTCAATAAATATTACAATCTTCTTAATGAATGAAAGAGGAACTAGAGAAAGAGTTACTATCTCATCTGTGACTTCTCAAAATGGCAATGAAAGAAAAATGTCATTGTTTATTTGTTTTTAAGTTTGAAGGTGGTCTATCACATTCCTTAATACTGCAGACATGCTAAGATGAGGAAGCTTCAAAGAGTTTGTGGAAAAATGAAATGAAAAGATAATGGAATTTTTCCACAAAATTTTTGAAGCCTCCTTGTATAGCTTAAAGTTTGACATTTGAACATGATTAACAGTCTTCAAGAGTTCTGCTGATATTGTTAGTTAATGTTTAGTTGATTTTGACTCATAGTAACCCCATGAGACAGACTAGAATTGCCCTATGGCGTGTTTTGGCTGTAGTTTTTACAAGAGCTAATCACCAGGGTCTTTCTCCCATGAAGCAGCTGGGTGGGTTTAAGCGGTCAACCTTTTGGTTAGCAGCTGAGTGTTGGACCAACTCCTACCATACCATGTAATATTAAGGAACTCTGGTAGCATAGCGGTTATGAATTGGACTACTAACCTCAGCTGTTCCATGGGAAGAAAGATGAGGCTTTCAGTTCTTCTAAAGATTTATAGCCTCGGAAACCATAAAATTGGTTCCGACTCATGGTGACCCTATATAGGGTTTCAGAGGAGCAATTTGTAGGTTTGGTCTGACCCCTTGCAGTTCAAACTGAGCTTGCAATTCAGTGCTTTATCTTACAGCACCAAACCATGTCTCCAATCTTTATCAAACCCCTCTTTGAGAAGGATTTTGAAAGAGGGAAGATCTCTCACACAATAATGGATCCATCAGTCTACTCTGTATATACATTAAGTGCACACTAATGAAGAAGTGCATCTAAGCAATTCTCAAACTTTCTGTAATTTTAAGTTCACTTTAGAATACTAGAAATTTCAGCCACATCATGAAGATTCGACACAACTCTAAATAGAAACCACAATCACAATGCAAGCAAATGCATTCTCTCAGAATCCATAAGATCTTCCCTAGCTATTAATCACATAGGTCATTGAATTGACCTTCCGCACTACGTGATTGCTTAATAGTACTTACTGTTCAGCCTTATATGGCTAAAGGGGGAAACTGGGCACATGTTAGCTTGTCCTCCTAACCACATAACCTGCAACAAGTTTACACTACTCTCTACCAAGTCTCCTGGACCATCTACTCAGCTCATTCTCTAACTGAGAGTCACCTCCAAAATAGACTATAAATTGAGATGAAAAAAAAAAACAAATTTTACAAGTTGATCAAAATTGGGGGGTGTACCTATAAAGGGTCTATGATGCACTAGCATGATGGCTCAACATTAGCTGAGAAAACAGGTCAAAGTTTGTTGTTGAATTGGCTGGTGTTATAAATTCTGTCCTGAAAAGCTTACTACCTACATACCCATATCCTAGCCTCACTTATGTTAGTAAAGATGCTTCTGATATGGGAACCCCACTTGTCCTAGGATCTATAACATACCTGAAAGGTTGTCCTTCCTTTGACCAAAATCCAAATGGAGAACTAGCATTAGGGACAATCTGCCACCTGTACCCAGGGGTGGCTTCAGAAAGGTCCAAGCCTTCAGTAGCATCTCCCACTTCAAAAAGAAGCCCACGGTTGCCTGTAAGACAGGTACAACTCATAAACATGTAGAAAGGGACAACTCATAAACATGTGGACAGGTACAACTCAGAGGGCATTCCTCCCCAAGTTGAAGAACGACCTTACTTCAGATTCAGGAGCAGAGGATGATCAAGACAATATCTGTAAAGTTGGGTCCCCTGAATTCCAGATATGAGAGGTCGTTTTGTTATGTTGTAATCATCAGTTGCTGTCAAGTTGGCTCTGACTACTGATTACTTTATGTATAACAGAACAAATGGTTGCCCAGTTCTGAGCTATCTGCATAACTCTTGATATGTTTAAACTCACTGTAGTGACTATTTCGTCAGTTCTTATCATTGAGGGTTTCCCTCATTTTAGCTGACCCTCTAATAACCAAATATTGTGTCATTTTCTAGAAATGTTTCAATGTTGTTGTTGTTGTTGTTGTTGTTGTGAAGTGCCATCAAGTTCGTTCCAATTCATACTTGCACTGTATAGGGTTTCCAAAGAATGGCAGGTGAGTTTGAACCACCTACCTTGCAGTTAATAGTACAGTGTTTATCCTACAGTACCACATCAGGATTGGTTCACTAGATAATTCAAATGTTCTCTTGTTGTTGTTGTTGTTATGTGCTGTGGAGTTGGTTCTGACTCATAGTGACCCTGTATAGGGTTTACAAGGAGCAGCTGCGAACCTTGTGGCTAGCAGTCCAGTGCTTATCCTACAGTGCCAGTTCTAAAGAATAGAAAATGCTCCTTGCTGTAGGATATAGCCTTTCAGAAGGAGAATCAATAAAGAATAGTAAAAGGAGGTATATTCTCAGAGTACCAGAGAAAAATAGGGAGTACTTTTTAATAGGAGTGCCAAGGAAAATAATCAGTTCCTGGAGAAAACGTAAAAGCAGAAATAAATGCTGTGCTTGAATAAAAGACAAGTAAAGTGACTATGTGCTTGTGGTTTGACTTGTCTTAGTACTTTCCAAAGCTGGTGTGAACTCCATTATCCGTTAAGGTTGAGTTCAGCTTGAGAAATCCATTCTTAAACACCTTTCTTTTGGAAAATTGGCAATATTTTTAATTATTCACGTGTCATGACCTAATTTGTGGGCCTGCACATAGAGCCAGTTAATTACTTGTCATGCTACTGTCACATGATATTTTAAATGATGTCCTTATTCATTTGGATTTTATACTAAGCAAACCATGAGGGAAAAGGCACAGGTGCAATAGATTGGATACTAGCCTTGGAAGTCCTATACAGGGTCACTATGAGTCGGAACCAACTCCACGGCACTTAACAACAGCAACAATAGCATGGCAGGATAGTAGCTCTAGAATCAGACAATTATGGGTTCCAAGTCTGCCAGTTACTAGATATGAGGCTTTGATGAATGCCCTTGTCATCTCTTTCTCATGCTAATTATAAATAGAGGCAATGTACTGAGAACTGTTCTTAAGTGCCCTCTAGTCAATTCTGACTCAAAACAACTCTGTACAGGGTTTCTGAGGAGCGACTGGTGGGTTTGAACCACCGACCTTACAGTGCTTATCCTACAGCGCCACACCAGGAATCCTACTGAGAACTAAGTGAGCCTCAAATATCTTCATAAACAACCTGAAGTGCTCAATAAGATATAGTTACTGAGTCGCTGTTGTTGATATTGTTGTTAAGTGTCATGAAGTTGGTTCTGACGCAGAGCAAACCTGTATGGGATTTCCAAGGAGCAGCTGGTGAGTTTGAACCACTGACCTTACAGTTCAAACCTAGGTGGTGTACATTGTTAGCATGCTCAGCTGTTAACAAAAAGTATGATCATTCAAGTCCACCCTGAGGCATCTTGGAAGAAAGACCAAGTGATAAATTTCCAAAGAGTCTGTCATTGGAAACTCTATGGCACACATGTCTACTCTAAAATACGTGAGGTTGCCATGAGTTAGAATCGAGTACCATTTTTTTGTGCTAATTAAAGTACTAGTGTTGTCCCTATTAACTTCTAAAACTAGGAAATAAAGAATAAGAAGAAAAATAAAAGTATGTATTAGATGGTGGTACACCATGGAGTCAAATTCTTACTCATATTGACCCTGTATAGGGTTTCTGAGACTGTAAATCTTTATGGGAGCAGAAGCCTCATTTTCCTGCCATTGTGTGCCTGGTGGACTTGAACTACTGACCTTGCAGGTAGCAACCTAACATGTAACCCACTATGCTACCAGGGCTCCTTAATTATATCAGTTTAAATTAGGGTTTCTCAACCTTAGCACTATTGACATTTTGGGGCTGGATAACTCTGTATGAGTCCTGGTGTGGCATTCTAGAAGTACCGGACTGCTAACCACAAGGGCTATGGTTTAGACCCACTAGTCGCCCCTCGGAAACCCTATACAAGGTTGCTATGAAGTTCACCTGATTCCAAGGCACTTAACAATAAGTCTGTTGTAGTGCTATACTATGCATTGTGGGACACTTAGCAACCCTAGCCTCCACCCACTAGATGCCAATATGTCACCACAAACAATGTCTCTCAATATGGCCAAATGTCCTCCAGGTGACAAAATAGCCACCAGTTAAGAACCACTTTTAAACATAGTAATTCTTCCATGGAAGAAACTTCAAACACTCTTCATAAAAGATATGGTTAACTAACTCTCAAAACAGCTGCACTCAGGAAATTATCTTACCACTAGGAAATGCTCAGAGGGAGCAGGGCCCTGTTTCCTGACACAGGAAACAGGCATTCTCTCAAGCACTTGTTTCAGTAATTCGGTTTCCTTGGATGGGCGCTTTCCCTAAGTGAAAACTACAGATCTGGGACCTAGAGAAATCTCTAGCCAAAGCTTTGCATGCATTTCCACACCTGAGTGGCCTTTCCTTAGAAAGACTTCTTCCCCTGCTGAGCAACTTTCCTTTTAAGTGCTGAGTCCCTGGCATTGGTATGCACATACCTGTAGTTTAACCATTTAGTACACCTTTTGTGGGACAGGTAAGGAGGAAGTAAGTACACAGTGCAGGCTGTGGTTCTGCCCTGACTTCCTAACTGCACTTGAGTCTCTAGTTCTACTGCTTAGCAGAAAAGTAAGCCCTTAATTTACAGCCAGGATGTGGGTGCTTTACACATAGAAGAACAAAGGCCTGCCGCCTTGACTCCCCCACTTTTGCCCACTTCAGGCATAAGCTGGTGGCAACATCACAATACATTCTTATTTTCAAAGTAGCAGGTGGCTGCCTGCAAGGGAGAGGAGTTGACATTTAAATGCACCCCAGTGTGCCTTGTTCTCTGCCCTGTCTCATATTAGTATGATATTAGTATGCTCTAATGTTCCTGTCTTCTTAAGTAGTGGGCGTACAGCTAGCCCATCCTACATAGATAGAGTGTAAGGGTTTCTTCCAGGAGCTATAACAATGCCTTAATGACAGTTTGCTTTCTGGGTAATGGTTTTTACTAAACTCCATTGGCCACCCATCTGGCTAGGGCTAGGAGTACAGTGTCCCTACACATATGAATAATGCAAAGAGCCTCTGCTATCTGAACCCTCTCTCTCACAATGATATCATCAGCTCAGGGCTCACTGGGCTACCAACGGCTAAGACAAAATTTGAATGTTTTCATTTCTACTCCCCAGCCACTTGTGCTAAAATATAAACAGGAAGTCAAAGAGTAGTGTTGTAACCTCCTTACCTGCCTGAGGAGCAGTGAGCCGTGCACCTTTTTCTGGAGACCTAGAGGTGCATTCAATCTTCCTGGGAGACACATGTCTGACATCACATGGAATGCCTAACAAGAACAATATAGATACACACACACAGTTGTTGTTAAGTGCCATCAAGTCAGTCCTGACTCATAAAGACCCTGTATATATGGGGTTTCCAATGGATGGCTTCTGAGTTTGAACCACCAACCTTGTGTTTCAAACCAAACTTGCGATCCAGTGCATTATCCTACAGGGCCACACTTTGTTGCTGTTGTTGTTGTTGTTAGGTGCCATCAACTCGGTACCAACTCATTGCGACGCTATGCACAACAGAACAAAACACTGCCCAGTCCTGGGCCAACCTCACAATTGTTGCCATGCTTGAGGCCCATTGATGCTGCCATATTGTCAATCCATCTCACTGGGGGTCTTCCTCTTTTTCTCTGACCCTCCACCTTACCAAACATGATTTCCTTCTCCAGTGACTGGTCCCTCCTGACAATATGTCTGAAGTATGAGAAATGAAGTTTGGCCATCCTGGCCTCCAAGGAGCACTCTGGCTGCACTTCTTCCAACACAGATCTGTTGGTTCTTTTGGAAGCACTTGTTGTTGTTGCTGTTGTTGTTGCTGTTAGGTGCCACTGAGTCGTTACCGACTCATAGTAACCTTACGCACAGCAGAACAAAACACTGCCTGATCCTGGGCCAACCTCACTTGAGTCCATTGATACTGCCACTTGGCCAATCCATCTCGTTGGGGGTCTTCCTCTTTATCTCTGACCCTCCACCTTACCAAACATGATATCCTTCGCCAGTGACTGGTCCCTCCTGACAATATGTCTGAAGAGACAAAGTTTGGCCATCTTGGCCTCCAAGGAGCACTCTGGCTGCACTTCTTCCAAACAGATCTGTTGGTTCTTTTGGCAGCCCATGGCACTTTCAATATTCTCCTCCAACACCATAACTCAAAAGCATCAATTCTTGGCAGCAGTTCTGACTCATAGTGACCCTGAATAGGGTTTCTGAGGAGTGCCTGGTGAGTTTGAACTGCCAACCTTGCAGTTCAAACTGACCTAGCAGTCCAGTGCTTTATCCCACAGTGCCACACCAGGAGTTTTATATATATATATATATATATATATATAGTGGGGTTGTGTGTTTTACAGTTAGTTCTGACTCATAGCAACCCTATATAGAGTTTCCAAGAAGTGGCTGGTGAATTGGAACTGCCAACCTGTGGTTCAAACTGACCTTGTGATTGATCCAGTGCTTATCCTACAGAGTCACACCAGGAGGCATACATATATATATATATATATAGTGGTGACTGTGTGCTTTAGAGTTGGTTCTGACTCATAGCAACCCTATATAGGGTTTCCAAGGCTGTATACCTCATTTTTCTCCCACAAAGTGGCTGGTGGATTAAACTACTGGTGTTGCAGTTAGCAATCCAATGCCCAACCCACTACATTACCAGGGTTCAAAATAGATAGATGAGATAGATAAATATAGATCTATAGAGTCCTGGTGTGGCGCCGCAGGATAATGTACTGAACTGCAAGGCCGGTTTGAACCACAAGGTCATAGTTCAAACCACCAGCTGCTCTTTGGAAACCCTATACAGGCTTGCTATGGCACCATAAGTTAATGCACTGTACTGCAAAGTCAGTTTGAACCGCAAGGTCAACAGTTCAAGCTTATTAGCTGCTCCTCGGTAACCCTATAGAGAATCACTATGGGTCAGAACCAGCTTGATGGCACTTAACAACAGCAACAATGAGTCAGAACTGACTCGACAGCACTTAACAACAATACACACACACACTCGTAAAGCAACAAAAAATTCATGAAAAATTTCCATCACCTTTTAATTCCATTTTTCCATAAACTTTTTGGAGTCCCCTGGTATATGGAATGACAGAGCCAGGCTGAAGTAGACAAGCTCCTATTTTAAGGCAGAAGACTAGATGTAGAAAGCAGCAAAAGTTGTCACCCTGACTGAAGGGGAACAGGTAAGGGACAGTGCAGAGCAGTAACCCAGAGAGCAGTTTATATTAACCACACAGAAAGGAATGCACTGAGGATGTACTGAACGTGTTCCAGCTGCTAGCCACTCTGCTGAGGTGGTGGGCGCACATGTAACTCAAAAGTGTGAGGACACGGTCCTGAATCCTTGGTGTCACAAGCTAAAGGAGCAGCCCACCTGACAATACAAAAGATTGTAGACAGATGCCACAAAAGCATTTGCCAAGAGAATCTGAATAGCAAGGCCAGGACACTCTGGAGGGAGTCCTGGGTGGTACAAACAGTTAACAGGCTCAGCTCAAATCAGAAGGATAGAAGTTTGAGTTTATGTAGGCGGGTCTCAGAAGAAAGGCCGGGAGAGCTCTTTTCAAACAATCAGACAATGACAACTCTCTGGAACATAGTTCTACCCTAACACACATGGGGTTGCCATGATTCAGAGTTGACGTAACAGCAATTGGTTACTGATTAGAATGAGGATGATGGGTATTATAATGAGGCAGCAGTACTTTTCCTGTTTCTTCTCCATCACTCAACTTGCCTTACCCCCAGCCCCAGGATGGGGACACCAGAAAGAACTGCCCATGAACTGTGAACTTGGCTGTAGGAATTGAAGACTAACTAATGGTCTGTTCCCTGTTTACTCACCTACTGAGCTACAGGACTTCAATCCCACCTGTTCCCAACTCGGCACAGGTAAAACAGGATGACAAGGTGAGCCAGAGGGGACAAAGTTTGCTTCCAACATACACACAGTCTCCATGCTACCAAGAGATACATAATTGCTAACAGTATTTAAAACTATCAGCTATTTTCAGTCATTTCAACTTAGTTACCTGCAATGGTCACCTGGGCAGGGTTGTCAAAGAAGTCTCCTCTAATTGTGATGTCTGTTCTTCCCCCAAGGCTCCCAGTTTCTGGAAACACAGATAGTATTTCTGCAAAAGAAATAAAAGTAAGCATCTGAATATAGAACACGTTGTGACCCAGATAATATAGTAATAGAAGCTATCAATAATTTATTTCTTACTTTAACTTTCTAACGCCAGCAACAGTTAGAATTGTTATGTCCTAGTAAAAGTCATTCTGTAGCCCTGGTTGTTGTTAAGAGCCGACAAGGGGGTTTCCAAGGTTGTAAATCTTTACAGCAGCAGAAAGCCTCATCTATTTCCCACGGAGGAGATGGTAGCTTTGAACTGCTGACTTTGCAGTTCACAGCCCAATTTGTAACCACTACGCTACCACAGCCCCTTGGAAAGGAGATCTGGTAGCATAGTGATTAAGAGTTGGCCTGCTAACCGCCAAACCCACAGCAGCCCCAAGCTCCTAACTGAGGCTCTGACATGTTAAATGAATTAACTAAGTGCATACAACTATAGGAGTCCTGGTGTGCGCTGTGAGCTAATGCGCCAGACTGCAAAGCCGTTGTGCTCCTCGGAAACCCTATGCAGGGTCCTTATGGGTTGAATCTGACTCGACGGCAGTTAACAACAACATACAACTAGAAGTTGAATGCTGGCCCTTAAGAAAATCAGTCCAAAGATCTCTGTATGCCCAATTCCCTCTCCACAGAGTTGTCCTATCTACTATAAGAAAGTTCTGGCCTGTGAATCCTCATCATAAGAAGATAATGACCATGGACATATAAAATACCTGTTCATTTTCTAGCACCAGAAGGCAACACAATTGCTTAGCCTCGGTATCCGTAAGTAAGGAATTACTAAATGAATGCTCATATGTGAGGTGTCACAATAAATGGAAAGACACGGGTTTTTAGACTTTTAAGTGCTGCTACTTTCTCTGGTAGTGTATTGGTTATGAATCGGGCTGCGAACCACAAGGTCAGCAGTTTGGCAGTTCAAAACTACCAACTGTTCTGTGGGAGAAAGATGAGGCTTTCTGCTCCCGTAATCACAGCACATAACCACCAGCACTTTACTATTCGTTATCAGAGCATTCAGTGTACAGTTATAGACTCTGTGTAAAAGATTGTTTTTTCGTTTCTTTCAATATAGTAACTCTTATGGAGTCCTGGTCAGAACCGACTCCATGGCCCTTAACAACAACATAGAGTCCCGGTATGGCACTGCATGTTAATGTGCTGGACTGCAAAGTTGGTTTGAACCGCAAAGTTGGTGATTCAAGCTCACGGCTGCTCCTCGGAACCCCTATACAAGGTCACTAGGTGTCAGAACTCGAGAGCACTTAACAACAACAACATGGATTGAATTCTAGCCTTCAAAATTTGTATTTGAAAATCCATTTGGAAACAATAATTACTTTGTTATGTGAATTACATCGACCCTTGTTGTTAAGTGCCCTGGAGTCTGTTCTGGCTCATAGTCACCCAGCATAGAGTCTCCTAGGTACGGCTGGTGGACCCACCTTGCAATTAGAAGTCCAGTGCTTATCCTACAGCACTACACCAGGATCCTAGTAAGGTAACTTCTAAATCGAATCACTGCTAAGCTATAAAAAGAGCAGATTAGAAATACACACAGGGGAAGACAGATGCCATATGATGATTGTCTACAAACCAAAGAACCAAGAAATGCCCTGAGCTACTGACAGGGAAAGACTCCACATGGCCAGGACCTGATTTGAACTTTAAGCCTCTAGAACTGTGAAGAAATAAATTTCTACCCTTTTGTGGTATTTGTGTTATAACAGCACTAAGAAACTAAGGTAGTAACTAAAGCTGACACACATAAAATCAGTGTGTTTTCAACCCAAATGATTCTAGGGACAGTCAGTGGTCATGGAGAAGTGGCCAGATGAAAGAGGAGGAGTCTCCAATGTTGGGTGAGACGTCACGGAAGGACAACAGTCCAGTGTGTAGGGAAATGGTACCTGAGTGTGTCTGGTACAGGAAAAGGTCCTGCTTGGCACTGATCATCCATGCATCCTTGTGTACCATTGACCTTCAAGACAGACAAAGTTAGGTTTGTGATGAAACCATGGAGATGCATTTTAAAAATCAGCTGACTGATTTGGATCATTTGGATACCAGCTCCTGCTAATGATTAGAAAACATTATCAGTGGCAAAGTTTGTTTTCTGATCCATAAAATTATTCTATGTGAATAATAATATCTACACACCTCACAGGTATTATATAATATTGTAATATAGTATAAAATAATACCATATTTAGCATTAAATTGAATGATGACTATGAAAGGCCTACTACAAAATTTGGCCCAAAAGAGACACTCTATAGGCATTAGTTTTATTCATTCCTAAAATCAAGAGGCAATCTTCATCCTTTGGGCTCTGTGGATAGAGGTACTATATGCCTTTTCCATTATGATACAATGAATATCAACTAGACAAGTGAAAACTTAGAAAATTATATAAGAATAGTGGTAAAGCATGAGAAATAGCTAAGCTACACTCTAGATAATTAGATTTAAATCCTGTCTTTAGGCTGGATTTTAACCTATGTTTATGGTCTTTAAGTTACTGTCTTGGAAATTTGACTTACTAAAGATTTACCTACAACATTTTAAAAAATCATAGCTGACTTTAAAAACAATTATAATTAAATTAAATTTTTTATCTCCAAAAAATAATCTCTCTCCAAAGCTCTAGGAAATTTGAATGTTTCCCATTTTGATGCTAGCATTTCCTGAAATGATACAATACATTTTATAAAACTATATTTCACATGAAACTTATGTGATAGTTTTAAATTTACAGTATTATGATATTCCTTAAGAGGTCACTTCCAAAATTCTGTGCCATTATCATACTGAAATAGTTGCATTGTATCTGTAGACGTATCATGAAAACACAATAAATTTGTCAAATAAAAGAGTTTTTGTTATATGATTCTGTTTGTGTACATTTGAAATTTTTCATTTTAAAAAAGGTTAAAGAAAGAAATCAAGATAAAAAATAAATAATATAAAATGAACACAAATTTTCATACTCCTAGTTACTTACTTTCCTTTATTAAATACTGAGAAGCTAACATTCTGCGAACCTGTAACAAAAAGAAAGAGAGTACAGGATTCTACGTGAGCTACCTAGGTCAGGCTATGGTTACTGTTAACCCAAGAACTCCCAAGGTCATCAAGTTACTCTCCATGCCTCCAGTTCCCTAACAACATCCCAAATAAACACCTCACATGCCCCACTCATGTCCAGCAATACAAAAATAAAAATAAAAGTACGGTAGAACAGAGAAGAGCACAGGTTTGGAGTTAGACTGAGCTGGATTTAAATCCTGCTCTACTCATTCCTTGCTTCACTTTCCTCACCTGTAAAGTTAAAAGAATTTCATCTACCTCACAGATTTATGGTGAGGATTAAATGCGTGTATAAATAAGCTGCTTATCTATAGATAAGTGCTTCACATAGTGAAGACAGTCCTTGTTGTTGTTGATAAGTGTCATCAAGTCAGTTCTGACTCAGAGAGACCCTGTATAGAGTTTCTGAGAAGCTACTGGTGAGTTTGAACCACTGACCTTGCAGTTCAAGTTGACCTTGTGGTGCAGTGCATTATTCCACAACACCATACCTTAACCAATGTTAATTATTGTTAACATCCTCTTGTATATCAATTCCTGACTTTTTTTCATGTAAAGAGAAAAATGGACAAGACTTTAAAACAGTGCTACTTTCCCAACAGACCGATGTAGTTGCCCTCCACCCGGCACTGCAAAGTCCCAACACCATGGTCTTCCTGAATAGAATAGCTAAGAAAAGAACAAAAACAAAAAAACAATTAAAACCTGAGGTTATAATCACCAAACAACACAGTCCAGAAGGTCAATCTGACTCTTTAGTCTAGAAAGTAAAGTAAAATAATAAAATAGTACAAGTCAGTGAGAGAAAATTGGTAACTGGCAGATACTTAAGATATAGTGAACTCACTGGGGCAAATGCTTTGGGTAATATCAAGCAGACACCATTGATACATAGATTAACAGTCAAATACATAATGTGAGAAATAAGTATAGCTTATTCATGCCCTCTGCCCAGACCTTTCTTTCCAAAATCTGTTACAAATATATCAAAATTCTTACTGACAAAAAGGGAAAAAAAAAACAAACAAACAAAAAAAAAAAACTGTTGTCAAGTACAAATCCAAAATACTGAGCAAAAAATTTAAAGAAACCGCACTCTAGAATTTGACACTACTAAACCTAAGTCCTAAAATACCTAATGGAGAAAGGATTGAAGTTATCAAGGACTTGATTTTGCTTGGATCAACCATCAATACTCATGGAAGCAGCAGTCAAGAAATTAAACGTTGTATTGCATTAGGCAAATGCTGCGCAAGACGTCTTTAGAGTGTGGAAGAGAAAATAAATCAATTTGAGGACTAAGGTACGTCTAATCCAAGCCAATAACCTCATATGCATGTGAAAGTTAGACAGGGAATAAGGAAGACCTCAGAAGAATTGATGAATTTGAATTATGGTGTTGGAGAACTATAGCGAAAGTACCATGGGCTGCCAAAAGAACAAACAGATCTATGTTGGAAGAAGTGCAGCCAGAGTACTCTCTGGAAGCCAGGATGGCCAGACTTCATCTCTCATACTTTGGATGTATTATCAGGAGGGACCAGTCACCGGAAAAGGACCAGTCACTGGAGAAGTTTGGTAAAGTGAAGGATCAGAGAAAAAGAGGAAGACCCCCAATGAGGTAGACTGGCACAGTGGCAGCAACAATGGGCTCAGGTGTAGCAATGATTATGAGGTTGGCACAGGACCAGGCAGTGTTTTGTTCTGTTGTGCATACAACTGACTGACTCAATGGCACCTAACAACAACAACAACAAACCTAAATCCTAAAAAGCTAATTCTTACGATGGCCTTAATGCAAGGTGAATCCATCCAGTTCAGAGTGGAGGAAAAATACCAAAAAAAGGTTGATTATTTGAATTATGAATGTATAAATATTTTTTTTAATGTTTATTGATACCCCCCCTCTCAGATTTATAATATAGTAAGCTAAGAGGATGAACTCTGTAGGCTGGCTAGCCTATCAGCATCCAAATCCCAGCTCAGCCACTTATGCTCTGTGAGATCTTTAGCAAATTATTTAACCTCTCTGTATCTCAGTTTTCTCATCTGTAAAGTAAAATTAATAACTAAATGTATTCACAAGGTCATTTTCACTACCATTGAATTAATTCCCATTCATAGTGACCTGGTGTGGTGATGTAGGCACTGGTTGGTGGTTCAAACCCACCAGCTGCTCCTCGGAAACTCTAACCGGGATCACTATGAGTCTGAACCAATTTGACGACACTTAACAACAACAACATAATGACCCAATATAGGGTTCTGAGACTGTAAATATTTACAGGAATCGACAGCCTCATCTTTCTCCCTTAGAGCTGCTGGTGGGTTTGAACTGCCAACCTTGCACTTAGCAATTCAACAACACCTAGCCTATAGAGTCATTGGTAATTTAAATGTAAAGCCTTAGAGCTGGGCTTGGCTTATAGTAAGAACTTAATAAGCATAGCTATTTGTTTTCTAAATCCACTTTAGTTTGCATTTTTAATCAACCCTGAATCTATTCGAGCAAATTTCAAAGACAAGACAGTCAGCAGTTTAATTTAAAAAACAAAAAGGCATTGTATGTATGCTCTGTACTCCTGTGGGAGAACCCAAAGGAAAGTTTCTCTGGAAAGAAAGAAAAGACACTCACCGATTTGCTGTCTGCCTATTGACAAGAGAGCAAGGAGTGAACCACTGTTCTCCTTGAGCTTCCAAGGTCAATGGGCTGGATAAAAAGAGGAAAGAAGAGACATGAAGCTATGGTGCAACGCTCTCAGCAAACATTCCTGACTGAACTCAAAGGAAGCATGAACATTGTCCTCTGCATCTCTGGAGCATGATTACAGGTGGCCAAACTCTCCCCAGGAGCTCTTGAGTTAAATGCCCAGCCTGAGAGTAGGGATATATAGCACTTTATCAAAGTCCAATGATTGACGTTGAAGGGATAGAATTTCCCCAAAATTCTCTATCAATCTCACGCTGTTTGTATTCATATGACATATTGTCAGGGATGAATTTGGTGCTTCTGTTACCTACAGAATGAGTAATTTCTTATTTTAAGACAAGTTGGCTATTATTTAATGCTACAAATGTAAGCCTTGAGAGTAATCAAATCATGTTCTCTTCAAGCAGGGCAGAATTTGAAAGATGGAGCCAAACAGAAGAGGATCCCCCTACCCCTTCCAGGAGTCATGGGAAAATTAGAGTCAGTATATAGAATCTACTCAGCTAGTCTGATAGTAGGATTATGTTCCTTCTACCTTATAAATCCTCAGTATACTTGCTTCATATATTGAATAATTACAGCTTCATATGTTGGCTAGTAGAGCTCTCCAGAAAGACCACAACTCCAACACTGCCCCTTTTTTCTCCTCTTTCCCTAGCATGAATGATTTAAGAGCAACACTTTCCACTTAAATCTGAAGGGAAAAAAGTCACATTGACATCCAAAACATTCCCAGAAGACATTAAAAACTCAGTGGTTTTCAGTCACACTCAGAGAATCTCTAAGTGCACAAATTAGAAACAACCAAAGAAGTCATAATGGGCTTTTGGTATTAGGCATCATTTTCTAAAGAATTTATTGCAACCAAGAACACAAGGGAGATGGTTAAGAATCAAAACCGAAAATCCACAGAAGCCATTATAGTACAATTCACACTGAGCCCAAAGTGACTAGTTGCCAGTAAATAAATGGACCAACTTAATCCAGCAATCACAATTACATTAACAAAGTTTGCTGAAGCCCAGCTCACCAACCACAAATTACAAAAAGCAAAACAGCAATTCTATGCCAACTGCTTGTAGTTTATTGCTATCAGAGAAGCTGATTTTGGAAGCTATGCAGTGTATTTATAACTATTTGCAAACAGAAATAAACACGCACACTTACCTATCAATATAATCAGCATCAGAATCAAAGGTTTCCAATCTTCCAGTGATAATCCAGCCATATACATGTATTAGTTTTCCTGTTTTAGGGTGATATTCAAAATTTTTATGTATCTAGCTCAAACTCAAGGAGCTCGGGTAGCATAGTGGTTACAAGCCGGGCTGCTAACCTCAAGGTCAGCAGTTCAAAAGTACCAGTGGTTCTGCTCCTTTAGAGATTTACAGCCTCAGAAACCCTATACAGAGGCACATAACCACCAACCACAGCTCAAACTCAAAATGTATAACACAAGCTGTGTTTCCTTTTGGTTACCTCTACCCCCGCTGGTAATGAATGTCCTAAGAAATTAACACTTTTTAAATAAATTATACAATGAGTAAAGTCAATGATTTGCTCCAGTGATCAATATTACACATGTTGTTGTTGTTGTTAGGTGCCGTCGAGTCGATTCCTACCCATAGCGACCCTGTATAGGGTTCCCAAGGAGCAGCTGGTGAGCTTGAACCACCAACCTTGCAGTCCAAACGACTTTGCAGTGTGACGTGTTAGCCCATGCGCCACACCAATATTACACACAGGAAAGGCTAAAATAACCAATTATTTCCGTAGGGATAGATAGATAGACAGACAGACAGACAGACAGACAGCTGTCATTGGGTCTACTCAAATTCATGGTGACTTTATGCAACAGAATGAACCATTGTTTGGTCCTGTATCAGCTTCATGAATTCTGGCATATCTCCATCATAGATATATCTATAGGAGGGGGCTTCAAAAAGTTCATAGAAAAATGGAAAGAAAAGATGAGCTTTTTGAAGACCCTTCATATATGGAGCACAAAAGAAATCATGGATTTTCCTCACAGCCCCAAAGATTGTGAGACTTTCAGGAGTGAAGGCTAGTTTCCACATACTACTCTGCTCCACACTCTTGTCTACGTGTAGACCACCCATTATTGGATTAAGAACAAATACCTTAGGTGTTCCCACTTCATGAGACTTTTCTCTAGACACTTGCTGATATGGCTATAAAGAAGATCTGATCACATGATTTGAATGTGTATTCAGGGATCCTACACTTTTTCCCATATCTTAAAGTACAGCAAGTGTCCTAGAAAACCCAAATGAACAGTACCTAAGTCCAAAGGGCACAAGATAGCAGCAAAGTAGTATCTTAAAGTATTCAAAATATTTTACTTAGCCCTTCCTCTGTGCTAGGCTCAAGTTCAAGGATAAAGTTAAGTGGAGCTCCCCAAACAGGGGGTGTCTGCCATACTCGCTGATACCTAAATAACATCTACTGTTGAGCATCCTCTCCGGGGCTTGATGGGATTCCCACTGGGTAGCACGTTTCTACTTAGTGCGCCCCTCTTTTTAGTTAGCAAGAGTGAAGGCACACTCATTCTCAACCCCCATTCATCATGGTGCATTCTCAGTATAATCCTTCAACCAAACAGTGCATGACGTGATTCCTTTCACATTTGGAAAACACTAAAACTCCGTATGGTGGACCTGCATGAGGCAAGCATTTTAAGCACACAAACCTTAGCAAGTTGATATAGTTAAAGTTCGCCACACAACCCCACAACCTGGAATTATATGTCTTCCAAATGATCAAAGGATATAATTGTCTTCCAGCATCACAGATGTGTAGGGATGAGAGAAAACAACCAAACCACAGCCACTGCCATCAAGTCAATTCCAACTCATAGCAACCCAATAGCAGGTTTCTGAGACTGCAGGTCTTTATGGAAGCAGACAGCCTTATCTTTCTCCCACAGAGTGACTGGTGGGTTTGAACTACCAGCCTTGAGGTTAGCAGACTAGCGTCTAACCCACAGTGCCACCAGTGCTCCTTAGGGATGATAAGAGGCAGAAAAGTGGAAGGAAAAGATAATGAATTTTTCCATGAACTTTTTGAAGCTCCCTACAGTGTCGGAGGAGAATATTGAAAGTGCCATGGGCTGCCAAAAGAATCGATAGATCCGTTTTGGAAGAAGTGCAGCCAGAGTGCTCCTTGGAGGCCAAGATGGCCAAACTTCGTCTCTCATACTTCAGACATATTGTCAGGAGGGACCAGTCACTGGAGAAGGATACCATGTTTGGTAAGGTCGAAGGTCAGAGAAAAAGGGGAAGACCCCCAATGAGATGGATTGGCCAACTGGCAGCATCGATGGACTCAAGCATGAGGTTGGCCCAGGATCGGGCAGTGTTTCGTTCTGCTGTGCAAAAAGTTGCTGTGAGTCGGTATTGACTCGACACCTAACAACAACAACATATGTGGAGCACAAAAGAAATAATGGGTCATCTCAGAGTCCATTGGTAATTAAAGTCAAACCTCAAAAATAGAAGGACTAAGGGTACATATACATGGGACTCAGTTCTTTTCATGAACACTTGAGACCACCAGAAAACATCACCAACAAATGTGTTCCCTTCACTCTGGGTTTGTGTTTCATTAATGACAAGTGACTTTCATCTGCAGTCCTAGAATGCCTTTGGGTTGCGCTAAAACAATGGTAACCTTCCAAGAACTATTAAAGCCATTCTACAGAAGAATAGGTAGAAAGAGAGGAAAGCTAATGACTTCGACAAGGGTCATAAAGTTGGCAAAACCTAGGTTCTGAAATTCTCTGCTAGTGCTAACAACGGACCGAATAATTTCTCCTTATTACAGTAGAGCTAAATTATTGATTTCCCAGATTTGGTGGGCAAGATTTCTTACTTAATTGATGGGTATCATTTAAAAAACTAATAACAGATTATAGAAATTAGAAGTTCCTGTGAGGTTTTTTTGTTTGTTTCTAAACAAAAACACCCCAACAGAGGCTGACTAATGTCTAAGTCAGCTAGCTCATGATGTTGGGGGTGGAGCAGGGAGGGGATTCTTTATCACAGTGGAGTACTGTTAACTACATATAGAAACTCAACTGCTCATCAAACGTCATCTCTCCTACCTCCATCACCTCCCACATCAACCTGGCTGCTAACTCTGGGCAGGCTTCCCAAATGAAATGAAAGTAATCGTCTGGAAATGATTGCAAAGATGTAGCTGCATGGATCCTGCCCTGAGGGAACACTCCAAAGGGGGCAAACACCAATCGTTCCGTACAAAAGTGAAGGAGACAGCATGTGGAACTCAGACGCAGTGAAACAAATGGGCTTGAGAGATCGGGGTGTCATCTGATGTCCCATTTTACACCTCTAGAGGCTGGCTCCATCCTCATCTCTCAGCCTAACAAGACTTCTGGCATCTAGACAGAAGCCTTCTAACACCAGAGTAGCAGTATCCCAAATGTCTGCATGTGATTTTCATAGACCACATCTCTTTTTAATAAACATTATCATGGAGTCCTGGTGTGGCGCTGTGGGTTAATGCGCCAGACTGCAAAGTCGTTTGAACTAGAAGGTTGGTGGTTCAAGCTCAGAAACCCTATACAGGGTCGCTATGGGTTGGAATCGACTCGATGGCACTTGACAACAACAACAATCATGTCTTCGTTAGTCAGACTGAGAGGCACAGATCTGTAAAGAGCCCACACGAATAAAACAACACTTTTATAAAATTTAAACACACATAATCTGTGTCTATAGACACACATACAAATGCTTTTCAATAGTGTAAATATTCATTTGACATTTTGACCAGTCAATCCATTTAAAATAACTATATCAGTTTATGCTTTTAGACACAACCACATATAAAAACATAGCAAGTGCTTTTTTCACACTTGGTGGTTATGTGCTGTGGAGTAGGTTCCGACTCATAGCGACCCTGTACAGGGTTTCCGAGACTGTAAATCTTTACTGGAGCAGAATGCCTCATCTTTCTCCCGCAAAACAGACGGTAGTTTAGAACTGCTGACCTTGCGGTTCGCAGCCCGATCTGTAACCACTACATTTAGGCTTCTCTAAAAATCCCTCTGAACAAATGAAAAACAAAAAACAAAAACAAAACTGAACTAGAAGTAAGAAAATGCAAAGAATCAGCAAATTATATATGTAATCCTGGTGTGGCGGTCTGCAGTTCAAACCCACCAGCAGCTCCTCAGAAACCCTATACAGGGCCACTATGTGTCAGCACTGACTCAACAGGACTTAACAACAGCAGCAATGTTTGCTACTTAATTTTAAGGCAGAATTAGCAGTTCCAGAATCTATGTCTTCATTGCAACTCCGTCTCCTTTTATGTAAATTCCCCAACTTTCTCTATCTCTTCTTCTGTCCGCTCAGCCTCTACAGATCTGTGTGCTTTCTGACAAAGAAATGAACTCCCTAGATAAGAATCAGAGTTAATGACTTTTCAAGTAGTGTCCAACATTACTCAACACAGTACATAACGATGGGTATGTGGGCCCACCCTGGATCCTGATGTGACAGCATAGAATAAGCACTCGACCTCAAGGTTGGTTTGAACTGAAAGTCAGCAGTTCAAACTCACCAGCTGCTCCTCGGAAATCCTATCCAGGGTTGCTATGAATCAGAATCAACTCTATGGCACTCAACAACAAAAACACATTCAAAGATCAGCTATACCAACTATTAGCTATTGGACTTTAGACAAATTACTTAGTCTCTGGGTATCTCATTTCCTTATTTTCAAAAAATGGGAACAATAATAGGAGTTGCATTGTCATTAGGATTTTGTGAGGATCTTTAAGGCTTAATCAATGGCTTAGAACAGAACCTGGCATATAGCAAGAGTTGGATAAAGATTTGTTATTAAGCATATGACTACTAAGTTATGAACAATGATGTTTTCTGTTTTCCTCCATTCTCCTGCTTCCCCTGCTGTGATTTTGCTAGCCTGTTTTCATGTTGGGGTTCCTTTTATCAGTGAAGTAACAGAGAAATGCCTGGTGGTGAAACCAAACTATTTAAAAAAAGAAAAAAGAAATTTGTACTTATTTTCAAAATAGCAACAGAGAAGCTAAGTTTGCCTGTTTAGAGAGACCATTAACTTGGGTAGAAGAATTTATAACAAGTTTCAGCAAAGGGATTCGTCATTATTTCTGTTTTAATAGAAGCTGCCTTACCTGGAACTCCACTTGGTGGGTTAACTTGATAAATAATGGGTGTCTGTGCCTTGGAAAACTGTTTAGAAAACATTATCAAAAGTGAGTATTTCATTAGCGTCTCACTACCACAAACACAAGAAGTATACGTCATTTCTCAAAAAGTATTCATCTAGGCTAATATATCATTTTTCTTCAAATCACCCTCACATCTATTTCTTTTTATCTTCATATTTCCATGAAATTAAGATAACAGATGCTATTATATTCCTTCTATAGATGAGACAAAGGGTATTTGAGCCAGGCCATACAACTTTTTGGACTCCTGGTGTGGCGCTGTAGGTTCAGCATGGGACTGCAAACCACAAGGTCAGCAGTTCAAACCCACCGGCAGCTCCTTGGAAACCCTATACAGGATCGCTGAGTCAGAACCAACTCTATAGCACTTAACAACAATAGCAGGGTACAGTTATTTATCTTTAACTATATTGCTCTGGTAGCATAGTGGATACAAATCGGGCTGTGAACCTCAAGGTCAGCAGTTTGAAACTACGAGCTGTTCTGCGGGAGAAAAGATGAGGCTTTCTGCTCCCATAAGATTTACAGCCTCAGAAACCCTGTACAGGGTCGCTATGAGTCGGAACCAACTCCACGGCACATAACAACAACAACATATTGCCCTACAAAAAGGACCTCTGGTTGCATAGTGGTTATGAATCAGGCTGCTAACCTCAGGGTCAGCAGTTCTAAACGACCAGCTATTCTGTGGGAGAAAAAGGCGGCTTTCTGCTCCCGTGAAGATTAACAGCCTCGGAAACCCTGTACAGTGTTGCTATGAGTCAGAACCAACTCCACGGCACACAACAACAACAACAACATATTGCCCTAAGCCTTGGCAAGCCTGTTTCTACCTGCTCATCTGCCAGGAACACAGTTTACCAGAAGGAAATGTGACTCGTCATACTTTAGATTATCAACCTTTTAAATCCATACTGTAATATGATTCCTTTAAGTCTTCAAGTTTTGCGATTTTTATTTTTCTAAATGAGAATTCACTTATTTAATTGGAAGGCTTGAAACGTAAATCAGCCAGCATCTTGGTAGGTATTAGTGAGCTATGAAAAATGGTACATCTGATAGGCACACAGGTGAAGTGCTTGTTGGGAAACTGGACTGGACTGGTTAGGAGGAGACTGATTCAGATGATTCAAAGACTAAGAAACAATATGAAAACGGCATTGATGGGAGATGTTAAAGCCTGCAAACACCAGAACATAGCACTCCAAGTCATCTGGCAATCCCTCTTCTCCCCACCACAGCATCTACTAAACATAAGATCTGTAAAGACAGGAAAATTCCTGACTTAGCTGATGTACATAGCCTGGTATGTAGAAGATGTTCAAGTTCTTGTGAATTAAGGGAATTGTCCCCTAGAAGTAGAGAGAAGAATGAGACAATCTTAGGAAGTTCATCTCACCTATAGGCATTAAGGTCTTAGTAGAATTCTCACCTTCCATGTAGGAGACCAGAGTTCAATTCCCATGCACATGCATTACCCATCTGTCATTGAAGGCTTGCATGCTGCTAGGATGTTGAATGGGTTTCAGCAGAGCTTCCAGACTAACAAGGACTAGGAAGAAAACTTGGTGATCTACTTCCAAAAATCAACCAATGAAAACCCTATGGATCACAGCAATCTGATCTGAAACCAAACATGGGAATGGGCAGTATTTAGTTCTTTACGATATTTAGTATTAGTTTAGACTCATGGAGTCACCAAGACTCCGGGGCTAGCTCCATGGCAACTAACAACAACATGAAACATATTACCAACAGGAAATTTTACTGGAGGCCGAGTGTGAAGAAAAGGGGAAGTATAAGGATGAACTAACCAGGCCAACATATGACCAGTAAGCCAATGACTCACCAAGGATCAGACCTAGTCTCCTGCTTCCACCATCCCAACTCCCTACTTCTACAGATGCTTAGACCTCCTGCATTCCACATAAGCTACAACGCTTCCCACTCTTCAAACAAATTACAAATAACTTTATTTTGTTTCGTCTCCTTCTACCACCCTAGGAGTCCCCTTTCCCAGGGAGAATATCACTAAGCAATAACTCTGTTGTTAATCAACAACCCTAATCAGACATCTAAAATCAAGACTTTTTAAACAAAGCTGATTGTGGCTTGGCAAGTTTGGGTTTTAAGTATTGATCTGCATAGCTCCACAGTCTGCTGATATGATTAATGTTCCCCTCTTTTTAAAGGAAAGGAGTAGAAAATATGTGCAGTCAGGCAGTCAAATTAAGTATGCTGTGACCTCACAGATTTGGAGCTGGCTTTGATCTTACCAGAAGATAAAGATGAATGTAATTCCACACATACCTGCCAATCCCCATGCCTCCTCCCACATCCTGACCTTTCTCTCCTGCTGGGAAAACCTTCAGGCCAAAGTGATTTCAATTGGAACTTTAGGAAGTTGTTGTTCTTGTAAGTGCCATCGAATTGGTTCTGACCCACAGCGACCCTATATAGGGTTTCCAAGGAGAAGCTGGTGAGCTTGAACCACGGACCTTGCAGTTCAAACGACTTTGCAGTCTGACTCATTAGCCCACAGCGCTACACCAGGACTCCCCAAAGTAGAGCGATGGTTATTGCCCCATCTCACTGCAAGGTCAGTGGTTCAAACTCATCAGCCACTCCTCAGAAACCCTATACAACGTCGCTATGAGTTGAACCGACTCAATGACACTTAACAATAGCGACAACACAGGTATTAGAACCTGAGGTAGATGGTTGTTGGTGGTAGTGTGTCACTGAGTCGGTTCCAACTCATAGCAACCTGTATAGGTTTTCTGAGGCTGTAAATCTTTACGGGAGCAGAGAGCCTCAACTTTCTCGCTCAGATCAACTGGCAGATTCTAACTACTGACCTTGTGGTTAGCAGTCCAGCTTGTAATCCACTACGCTGCTATGAACTGAATCTAAACTAAATAAAACACACCTCTCAATTTTCAAGGTTGAAATATTATAAGTCCTTGTTGTTGTTGTTGTTGTTGTTGTTAAGTGAAATTAAGTTGGCTCCAACTCCTAGCGACTCTGTATAGGGCTTCCAGGGAGTGAATGGTGAGTTTGACCCACCAACCTTCTGGTTCAAAGCAACCTTGTGGTCTAGTGCTTTGTCTCACAGTACCACACCAAGACTCCACAGAGGATATTGTTGTTGTTGTTAAGTGCCATCAAGTCAGTTGTAACTCCCAGCAACCTTGTATAGGGTTTCCAAGAAGGGGCTGGTGGGTTTGAACTGACAGCCTTGTGGTTAGCAGTCTGGTGCTTATCTTACAGCACCACACTGCTACCTTTATTACTCACTCTCCAAGTGGTGAAGCCCGCCCAGGGTTGAACTTCAAAAAGTGCTTCACTTACGATTCTCTCTAACTGACACAAGACAAAATGGCACATTTCTAAAAGAAACAGGCCCTTGATCACTCACCAAGGCAGAGACATGGCAAAGTGAAAAATTAATGAGCTTCCAAATCAAGCTTCCTGCATGCTACTCCTTGAGCTGAAGTGAGGTCAGCAGCAGCAAGATGGGGCAGAGAAGAGGGATTGGATGGAAATGGGAAAGTCACAGCCATCGGTTTCTTGATAAACCTTCTGTGAGTTGTTCAAACTTGTCAGTGCCTGCAGCAAGCTCTTTAGAATGGACTGGAGAGGTGAAATTAATTTTTAATACTCATGGCTCCCCTAGTTCCATTCCTCAAACAAAGAGAAACACTGTTTTATTTAGATTGGAATGTCTCATTAGCTACGGACCCTGGTGATTTTTCATCAACTCACCAAGCTGAACCAAGGAAGGGCTTGTTTGCTTTTATGTGCAATTTTAGGAAATGTTTTCCCCTCGCTGCCCTTACTAAACTTTTCATAAGTTGGAAAAGTAGTGTCTGGGGTGAGAGGAGCCTCAAAACTAAACTCATCCTGGTGACGAAGGAGCATGCTTAGCTAATATCTCCCTTCTGTTATAGTCCACGAAACGGTGTGGTCTTAATAAGAAAAGACACTTTTTTGTTTCTTCTGCATAGGCACAGAAGCAAAACTTAAAGCAAAATTCTTGGACTAGAAAACAAATTGTTGAATGTGAGTTGACAGAAAATTCCCAAGTTTCAAGAATGAATTGCCATTATAAAATGCGGAAGCTCTTAGAGATTAATTTAGAGGAAGTTTTCTTTCAACCAAAGCCACTGACATTGAACCCGTGTTGACTTTGAGACTGTAAATCTTCAGCCTCATCTTTCTTCTGAGGAGTGGCTGGTGGGTTTGAACTGCCGGCCTTGAGGTAAAGCAGCCCAACACCTAATCCACAGCACCAGCAGGGCTCCTTCTTGCTCTAAAAACCAAATGAAACCCACTGCAATCAAATAGATTCTCACTCATAGCAATCCTCTGTAGGATTTCTGAGGCTGTAAATATTTACTGAAGCAGAAAGCCTCATCTAGAACACTAATTAATGACTAAACTGTTTTCTTTAGAACAACTCTTAAACAAAGATTCCCTATACAAAGCTGTTGCTGCTAGTTACCATTAAACTGAACCCCAAACTCAGGTATAACAGAACTAAACTGTTGTGAACTATAGGGGGTTTTTCCCTTGGCTGATTTTTAGAAATACATCATCACATGTTTTTGGTTTTTTTCCAGTCTGTATATAAGGATGCTGTTGTTGTTGTTAAGTGCATCGAGTTGGTTCTGACTCATAGCAACCTTGTGTAGCATTTCCAAGGATCAGCTGGTGGGTTTGAACTGCCAACCTTGTGCTTCACAGTCCAGTGTTGATCCACATTGCAGTACCAAAAGTCTCTATATATGTACAACCATGCAACTAGGAAAGCTGACAAGTCTCTTTCTTTTATGTAAAGTTCAGGACCTACTTCTTCAAAGATCACTTTAGTGTAAAATTAATTTTAAGTGGTTAGAAGAGTAAACTAAACATAAAATTAAGTCCCGGTATATATGTGCCCATGGACTCAGGCTCTGAAATAAGTTATGCATTAGGCTTATAAACTAATAATACCCTTTCTCTCTCCTTCTTAGTTGCTCTGAGTTTAAAGGACGGTTCCACCAGCAAATGCCTCTTCAGTCTAGTGGTGGAAAAGATCAGCAAAAACAGACCTTAAAGCAACAAGAGGAGATAGCAGCTGGATTCTTTCACCAAAGAAGTTGTGTCCTTGAGTCCCTTCACCCTCCTGAGACTCAGGACAGTCTCAGCTGTAAACTGAAATACTGATATCCAGTGGCAATCTCTGTGGCCCTCCAGTGGGCTTCAGTCTGATTTCACCTGTTACTCCCTGCATAACATGGGCAAATTATTTAATCTCTCTGAACCTCAGATTTGTTGTTGTTGTTGTTAAGTGCCATTGAGTCGGTTCCGATCCATAGCTACACAGTATAGGGTTTCTAAGAAGCAGCCGGTGAGTTTGAACTGCCGACCTTGTGGTTCAAAATGACTTTGCAGTCCAGCGCATTAACCCACAGCACCACACCAGGACTTCGAGCCTCAGATTACTCTTGTGTAAAAGGATGATAATAATAGCTATCTTATAAGATGGTTGTGATCGTTAAATTCCACAATGTACTTAAAATGCTTAGCTAGAACTAGGCCTGCAAATCTCCAATACATACCTGGCATTAGGGTAGTCTAAGACAGCCTGTCTCTACCATCCATTTTTCTTACCCTGTCAAAGCAAGACTCCCCAGTGATTTACAATGTTTGCTCCTGTCTGTAACACAAGCATACCCTCACATTCCTCCATTCTTAGAACCTACCTTGAAAGTGCAGCTGTCACATGGCCCTTGGCTCAGGCTGTTGAACACCTGTCCCCCAGCGTGCACATCCAGGTAGTGTAATCCCTCATGCGCTTCAGATAACAGAGATCTAAGAGCAGAAAATGGAAATTCTCATGAATCAAAATCCATGAACTCATGAAGCTAACAGGTCCTCTCTACCACTTCAAATTTCCTCTTTGTGCTGCTGAAAGAGAGTCAACCAAGACACCTATATTTCATTTTTCACCTCCTACTGCCGCTCACCCTTACTGGATTTTAAAGACTGAATCCTTTAACAAAACAGATGGCTATAAACTTTGCAAACAGATTCAAAGTCAGAAAGCTGGATAGTGCAAGGAATGTATATACATGCACACAAGTGTGAACATACACCTTGAGCATTACAAAAAGGTGTTCCTTCCTCAGAGCTGACAAAAACGTAGACTGGATTGCAGCTCCTCTTGTCCCCTTTTCAAAGAAGAGAAATATTACGCTCAGTAGGATGATCAGGGAAGAAGTGATCTTTGTAGTCTGGTTGGGTAGGATCACTAGGCAAAGATGTAACGGGAGATCTTTGCTAGCAGAGGGAACAGAAGACACAAGGAAATGGTGTTGTGGTTCCTGTTCATCAATGATACATTTCATGCAGCTTCTCTAAGACATGAGTAAAGAAAGAAGAGGCTAATGGGACCTAAAGATTCCAACAGTAAGTTGAGTTGTTGGGAAGTGCTACTGATCGGTTCTGACTCATAGCGACCATGGAGAGGGTTTCCGAGGAGCTGCTGGTAGGTTTAAGTGCCGACCTTGTGGGTCCCAGTCTAGTGCTGACCCTAAAGCGTTACACCAGGAATCTGAAAGTTGAGTAGGACAGTAGATTCCCTGGAATCCTGTACAGTATCTCCTAAAGATAGGTAATATAGTCAGCAAACACACTGAAGATTAAAGTGAATCTCCTTTCTGATTGTTTTTCTCTTTACACATGATCATTACAATTATGCCCATTCCAATGGAAAGGCAAAGTAGCACCATTTATTGAAATCTTAAGGATCCTTACAAAAAGCAAATGCAAACACAATCCAGTCCATTCTTATAATTTACTCAAAATTTTTCTCTATGCTCTTAACCTTCCTTAGCCTTGGTGTGAACCATTTAAAAAGTCTATTCACATGGAACATTTTAAGAACTAAAATGGACCATTGCAATCACAGCAGGAGTTGCTTTAACTTGTTAGAAAGAACTACTGAGATATACTGAAAACATTCTTCCTTTTCTTGAACCAGCATACCTGGTCCGGCACATCACCAAAGGTAAACCTAAGAAGACAGGGGAGACATCACAGGGTACGACTGGGAGCGTAGGCACCATCACATTCACCAGGTTAATCTCCAGCTGAGAGCCGTTGCTGGGATAGAGAAGATCCAACTGCAAACCTAAGCACAAAGGAAAAGGGAAACCTCAAGCTGAGTACAGTGATAACTCACCAAGATCATATAAAAATATGGCCACACGGGGGCAGTGTGAGACATTATGTTCACCTAAACATTAAGTTACTACTCAATTCCAAAGGCCCTCGTGGCTGCTCTATATAAGAGTTTTCTCTTCATCAGATTCACATAAATCCAGGAAAGTATTTTTCAACCCTCAAAGTTACTCTTTACTACGGCAGATATGAGTATGTTAAGTTATAGTTTAGACACTCCCAAACACAGAATTATTTACAAGGAAGACAACCAAGATACTGGGGGGCACATGACCAAGTGCTACGCTGTATACTTTCTTATGTCATTGTATTTAAGCTTCTTAGACAGCCCATCCCACAGCTTGGGATCAAGAAATGAGCATAGATATACGGTTGTGTGATGTGCTCTGCTTCTGTGACATTGTTGTTGTTGTTGTACGTGTCATCAACTCGCTTCTGACTCATAGTCACCCTGTTTCCAGGGAGCAGCTGGTGAATTTGAACTGCAGACCTTTTGGTTAAAAGTCCAGTACTTATTCTACAGAATCACACCAGGACTCAGTGACATTAGCAAGTGACTATCTGTAAAGATTTACACCCTCGGAAACCCTGTACAGTGTCGCTATGGGTTGGAACCGACTCGACGGCACTTAACAACAACAAATCTGTAAAACTAGTTGGCTGGTTGATCCATCTTCCTTCAAGCTCGCCCTGCCAGCTCACAATCTCAGGTTAGTGAAGTGTTCCAGGTTGTCAGTTTGTCAACCCGCTGTCCTTACACAAAAAACAGCACCAAAGTCTCTTATTCTTTTGCTTATGATTCATAAACAAAAAACTGACTTTTGTTAAGACAAACCTACCATCAAAAATGACTGTGATCCATGTTCCCCCTGCAAGACTACCTTCTTCTGGCTCGATATGAAGACTCAGAGAGGACACTGTAAATGAGTGAGAAAAACACTGGTTTTGAGGGACAGATTCAATCCAACAGCTAACCCAATGTTTTCAAGCAAAATTTAGCATGCACCGGAATCACAAGAAGAGCTTTTTAACCAACAGACTGGTCAAGGGTGGACCCAAATTTTGCATTTCTAACAAGTGCCCAGGAATCCTGGTGTACCTCTGTAAGATGCATACTGGACTGCTAACCACAAGGTCAGAGGTTCAAATCCACCAGCTGCTCCTCAGAAACGCTATACAGGGTGGTTATGAGTTAGAACCAACTTAGTGGCACACAGCAACAACAACAAAAGTTCCCACATGATACTGGTTTAGGAAACACACTTACAATCCCTTCATCTTCAGGGAAGCCTGGTTAATCCTCAGATCTTAGACACCTAAAATCCCCAGCATTTACTAGGACAATCCTGAAGTTCTACTTCATTGAAGAGAGCCTAAGGATACATTTGATTCTTAACTAAACCCTTTTCACTCCCCTCTCTTCCACTCTTTACTCAGATTGCTTATTGTTGTTGTTACTGTTGTTGTTAAGTGCCATTGAGTTGGTTCCCACTCATGGTAACCCTGTAGAGGGTTTCCAAGAAGCTGCTGGTGGATTTGAACCACTGACCTTGTGGTTCACACTGACTTTGTAGTCCAGTGCTTATCTTACCATACATAAAATCACTTATTTCTTGTATTTCCACTTCCCAGGAAGGAAGAGCGACTTCTAGAAGCTGGCTCGATTTCAGTTCTCCTGCTCAGTAAACTGTCCTCTAGTTTCTGATCCTGAATACGCGGCCGGGGTCATACCTTTATCATACCCAAATGCATGTAAGATTCCCTAGTTTAATTTCCTAGTTTGTTGTCCAGACACCCCTCATTCCCCATCCTGTAGTTTGTTTTCATCCTCTACCCTGGCCTTGCATGGTAAGGGACTTAAGCATTGGTCATTACTGGAATTTATTTAAATGAAACCAGTTATGGACCTCAGATACTAAGTTAGATTGGATTCTTTCTTTCATAAAGGGTTCTTTTATATTCCTTTACTTTTAACAGTAGCTTTATTATATTCATTTTTTAAATTCCTTTTTGGAGTTTTATGATGTAATTCTTTTTATATTTTATTACTTTACATTCCCAAGGAAATCAGCTGAGTATGACACTAAAAAAAAAACCCTCCATCTATAAAGATTGTTTCGAAAATGCACCAATCTTGAACAAGGCAAATCCAACTCAAGGAAGTTAGAAAAAAATCAGTCACCTCCTCATGAGGTCATGGATAAAGAAAGTGCTATCTTATGAATACTTTATAAATTTTCATATCAGAAATGTTAAAGAATAATCCAGGACACCCTGACTTATTACCCCGTGGTTCTATTCACAGTTAGTTAGTTATTCAAATGGTACACTAAACACCTGAGGGTAGTGGAGAATCATTCACAGCTGCTCAATAAGACCTGCCAGACCAGCCTATCTCGACTCCTCTAAGGTATATTAGGTACTTCCACCTCTGGTAATAGAGTTCTGGTGTGGTACTATGGACTAATGCATTAGACTGTAAAGTCACTTGAACTGCAAGTTCAGTGGTTCAAACTCCTTGGAAACCCTATACTGGGTAGCTATTGGTCAGAATCGACTCGATGGCACTTAACAACAACAACCTCTAGTAATATAATGGTTACGAGTTGGGCTGCTAACTTCAAGGTCAGCAATTCAAAACTACCAGCTGTTCCATGGAAGAAATATGAGGCTTTCTGCTCCCGTAAAGATTTACAGCCTCGGAAACCCTGTACAGGGTCGCTATGGGTCGGAATCGACTCGATGGCACTTAACAACAACAACAACAATAACAAGATAGAGTTCTGGGGTAGCACTGCAGGATGATACATTGGATTACAAGGTCAATTTGAACTGCGAGATCGGCAGTTCAAACCCACCAACCACTCCTCCGAAGCTCTAGGCAGGGCTGCTATGAGTCAGAACTGACTTGTTGGCACTTAACAACAAGATAACAGATTTACAAAGCAATTGGAACATGGTATAAGAAAAGGAGATCTTAATGTAAGTGGTCATTGCACTGCAGGGTAATGCAGTAGACAGAAAGGTCAGTTTGAATCACAAGGTGGATGATTCACACCCACCATCCACTCCCTGGAAACCCTATTCAGGGTCTCTGTAAGTCAGAACCAGTTCAACAGCACTTAGCAACAAAAACAACAATGAGATAAGGAGAGGACTGCTAACCACAAGGTTGGTGGTTCAAGTTCACCTGAATCACTCCAAGGGAAATAGATGAGATTTTCTGCTCCCATAAAGATTTACAGCCTCAGAAATCCTATATAGGATCACTATGCGTTGGAATCAAATCAACAGCACTTAACAAAATCAAGACAATAAGATACTCCATTTGGGAATATAAAGTAATAAAATCTAAAAGAAATTATATAATATAACTCAAAAAGGATATTTGATTTTATATTATTAGTGAACACGAAAAAGCTAAACCTAAAAGCAAACATTTCAACATCTCCCCCCAAATAATATTTTAAATATAAATAAACTAGCTCTTAAAGTAACTTGTTAATGTTATCAGAAGCTCTGCTGGTAGGCTGATAATCAAAAGTTTAGCATTCAAATCCATCAGCCATTCTGTGCAGAAAATATGTGGTGGTCAACTTCCATAAAGAAATTCTATGGGGCAGTTCTACTTGGAAATCCTATGGTGCATTTCTACTCTGTCCTATAGGGTCATTGTTGTTGTTGCCGTTAAGTGCCATCAAGTCAGTTCTGATTCATAGTGACCCTGTATAGGGTTTCTGAAGAATAGCTGGTGGGTTTGAACTACAGACCTTGTAGTTCACAGTCCAGTGCTAATCCTATAGCACCACACCAGAAGTCCTTAATGAGGCAGAATCAATTTGACAACAATGAGATATAATGTTTTTATTTATAATCCTCTCAAAAAAATCTTGCTCACCTGTCAAAAGCAGTCCTTCAATCGTCATCAGAGAGATTAGCCTGACAGTCATCTTGGCCTGTTAAATGAAGCCTCCAAAGATTTGTTCAGACATTAACAGCTTTTTCATTTTTTATTGCAGCAGTATAGCTTTTGTGTGCTGTAAAAAATAAAATGAAAAATTACTGTCATCATTTTTTGCTGACATACAATTTCTGTGCTATATTGAAACTTTAGAAATTAGAAAGATGTTACAAATCTGTCTCCAAATGAACTCACCATATTCCTAATCACTAGAGAAAAGAACCATCTAAGAATCTTAAATAAATTCATCACCATTACCCTATTGTGAAGATTAATGCTATGTCATGATTGTTGGTAACAGCTTCCACTACATGATCTAAAGTAAGGGGAGTTTCCTTTGGGGTGTGACTTGCATCCAATTTATATGCATGTTTGGCCAAGCTCTCTTGCTGTCAGTCCTGCATCTGACTCATCATCATCTGACCTGCACTTCAGGTGAGCCAGCAGCCTGCTGCCCAACCTGTAGATTTGGGGGTTACCTGATTCTGCAGCCCCATGAGTCAGTAATCTGGTCTGCTGATTTGGGGCTTTGCAGTCCAGCAAGGAATCCTGGTGCAGTACTATAGAATAAGCACCGAAGCAATAACTGCAAGATTGATTGTTAAAATCCAAGAGTCATTCCTTGGAAACCCTATACAAGGTTGCTGTGAGTCTGAACCGACTTGACGGCACTTAACAACAACAACAACAACAGTCCCTGCAAACACATGTGTCAGGAGAAGCCACCAGCCTAATACGTGACCCATGGATTTGGGACTTGCCAGCATCCACAACTGCATGAGTTATTTCCTTTAAAATAAATATTCATATATATGTGGGCTTCAAAAAGTTCATGAAAAAATTTCATTATCTTTCAATTCCACTTTCCCACTAACTTTTTGAAGCCCTCTTCTACACTTCACTGTTTTTGCTCTTCTAGAGAAGGATTTGATAACAAGAGTGGTTCTAGAGGAACAGAATTATAAGGGTGAGGATTCTGAATGTCAAGTCTGGCTAGTCTTAAAGGTGCTGATGACTTGGCGTCCAGTAATAGAGAGGACACTAATAGCCCATGGCTTGAGGTAGCAAAATAAATAAGCAAAGTATTCCCACCTAGAGATCAAACATTTGTGAGAAACAAGGATCTGGGTGATTATATATTTGATACTTTTCTAGAATTTTGTCAGAATGTGAGGTATAAGGAGATTGGTTGGTTCATCCTACATTTAGTAGATAATGTGGTAAAGGGACCACAAGGTCAGCTTGAACCACAAAGTTCAAACTCACCAGCTGCTCCACAGAAACTCTTACAGGGGTGCTACAAGTTGGAACCACTGTGACAGCACTTAATAACAACAATAACAAAGTGGTAAAAGAAAGGGAGAGCTCAAAGCTTCAGAGTCACATTGCAAACACTGCATAAAAGGCCTGAAAGTTGCTATTACTACCCTAAAAGAAATTCTTATTTCTTGTAGTGACAGAGGGAATATTGTCAAAAAGCAAGCCCAGAGTCTCATCTAAGAGAGGCTGAATTACAAAGTCAATAGAATTGCCAAATTTGAGTGGTGTCTGAAATTTAAAGTGAGGACATTCATTGGGAAGAAATGGGATTCTGAAAATGAAATGAGGACATATGGAAAAATAATGAAGAAGTTGAGGACACTGAACCCCTAAATGCCATTGAATCACACCTGCCAACAGATCCAGCCCACTTACTCCCATCTGAAGAGATTACTCTATCTTTGTCTGCGAAACCATCCACCCCAGTGAAACCACGATCTCTTCCACCTCCTCTGTTCAAATGAAACCAGCTGTACCTGAAGAATCTTTGTCTGAGCTATTGCTTGGAACAGTGCCTGGGGAATTTCCTGGGGGCACTGACTGAGACAGATGCTTTATAAGGCATTGTTAAATATCCCCAGGACCCAGCCTAAGCACACATTTTTGCTTCTAAAGTTGTATTAGTCCCAGCAAGTCCCAAAAAATGAAGTACAAAAGTGTGACCTAGGAAGTGGTATGCTTGACACCAAAAGCGATGCTTGGTTTTTCTAGTGTCTATGAGTAGAAGATATTAGAATGGAGGCCTGGCGTGGTACTGCAGGATAAAGCACTGGACCGCAAGGTCAGTTTGAACCACAAAGATCAGTGGTTCAAACTCACCAGCTACTCCGTAGAAACTCGACACAGGGTCACTTTGAATCAGAACCAACTTGATGGCACTTAACAACAACATGAGTAGAAACAAAAACCTGAGGAATTTGTGTGAAAATGACTATTATGAGTGTGGGATAACGGTGTAAGAAACAAAGTTGGATCAGTCTGGGTTTATTGATATGGGTCCACTAATGACAGATTCTTTATTCAATGTTTCACTTGCGAGGTTAGAAAAAGATCTAACAGTTTATTTGGTTGGTACCCTTAAGAATGAATTAAGCAGTGGCTTACACTAAATCAATCTGAAATGTCAGACCTGTCTTGGTATACTGTAGAAGAAAATATCCAAAAACTTAGGGAAATTATCATGTTAGAGAGAATTTCTTAGGTTAGATCACAGACCTACCTATGGAGGACAAACCTTTTACCACACCAAGGACAAAAGTTGTGAAGGGAGCCTCAGCATCCTTGAATACTGCAGTGATTGCTGTTTTATGTAGGTCAGATTTGACCATGGGAACTGCTCTAACTGAATTAAGACACTCTACTACAATGAGGTTGACTAGAATCCAGGGTGATAGGGGCCAAGTGGTGGCTCTTAATCAACAAAGACAGGGTAGATGTGGTTACCATAATGGAAAGTGGAATCTAAGCAGTAATTAGTATAGTCTCACTCTTATGGGTTTATGGCATTGGCTACTTAATCATGTTGTTTCTAAGAATGAAATAAATAAGAAATGTATTAAATATCGGAAGTCCTGGTGTGACGCTGTGGGGTAATGCGCTGGACTGCAAAGTTGGTTTGAACTGCAAGGTCGGTGGTTCAAGCTCACCAGCCACTCCTCAAAACCCTATACAGCCCAAAACAAAAATGGCAGTATGACTGGCTACTACAAAAATAAGCATGCTGTTCTCCGGGCAGCCATCAAGGCAAGCAATCAAGTCCCTTCAGGACAAACTCCTCTCTAAGACTGAAACTCAAAGGGAATACATGAGCAGGCATATACACCTGCTGGTGACCACATTGGTCTACTGGTGAGTGGAAAAGAGGGAAAAGCAGCAATAAAGAAATGGGCTGAGTTCAACCATGGTCCATAGACGCCCGTTGACTTGGAGATGAGAGAGAGAAGAAGAGGAAAGGCTGGTAGGTCCAAAGTGTGGTGAGACTTGAGGACACCTGAGCCAATGGACAAGGACACAGCCACAGAGGGCTAGAGCTGAGAGTGAAGAATACAGCTGATATGAAGTGAGGGGAGAAGCACAAGAACACCCAGACTTGCAGATTGCACTCATATGACCTAGCCTCGATGGCTTAATAATCACAGCTGGATAAGAGGGAGACAAAAAAGAAAACATTTTTTGATAAAGGAAACAAGGGTAAATTGCTACAATTTGATGAAATTGACCTATACTCATGGAGGTGGTGGTGGTGGTGGTTAACGAGTAGGTTTCGACTCATAGCGACACTGTACAGGGTTTCTGAGGCTGTAAATCTTTACAGGAGCAGAAAGCCTCATCTTTCTCCTGTGGAACAGCTCGTAGTTTCGAACTGCTGACCTTGCAGTTCACAGCCCGATTCATAACCACTACACTACCAGAGCCCCTTATACTCATGGAGGTAGTATCTCTAAATCCCAACAGAGAGGGAAGGAGTCTTCACATTAAGTATCATTGCTATCCCCTCTATATACAGGGTAGATAGGGATGGGCAACTTAGGCATTTGCAACCTAAAATGAGGGGACAATAAAAGCTCAAAGAGACTGGCTTACAAGATTTCAAGGGGAAGTTTAGTTTAAGAGTGTACAGGGGAAGACAGAGTCCCCACTGAATAGTTCTCATCTTGTCTAGATGGGTCTGGTAAAAAGAGATGGGAATAAGATTCTTATGATTCAATAGTGAGTAATTGTTATCATGATTAGTTGCGACTGTCACAATTGTAAAGGTAGAAGTTTTGTAACAAAAACGGGAGAGTAGTTAATCTTACAGTCCAGAAACAGAGGACCCTAGGACTGTCAAGGAAGAAGAGTACAACTGGACTACAGGACCTTATCCAGAGAAGCAGCAACACCAGAGATGGAGGCAGAGACAGGGACATGGAGAGAGGGAACAGCTGAGAACTCTAGATTAATGGAAAGGAGGGACTTAGCAAGCAGCCAGGAGGCAGACTTCTAAAGTTTGCCCTTTGGTGGTATAAATTATTATATATGCCTGAGTGTTTAAAAGAAAAAAAAAAAAAAAAA